CCCCGGTCGGGTCCGCGACAAGATGGCGGCTGTTGATTCCTCAATTAAAAAAAAAAAGAAAGTTTTTTTTCTTCTCTTTCCAGAGACTGAACGGGGAGGGGGAGGGGGCGGGGCACGCCTGTGCGTCACCCCCCGGCGTCAGCACGTACGGCCCCGCCCCGCCCCCTCCACCTGCGGCGGCCGCGGCGGAAAGAGCCGAGAGCGCCCGGCGGAAAGGGCCGAAGGCACGGCCCACGAGCTTGGGGCTCTCCAGCCCCGCCGCCGCTCGCGGGCCGGGCCTGCGGGCGACCCGGTACCCGGCCCAGCCGTCACTTTACTTTTGGCGGCGACTTGGGGGCGAAGGCCCGGGCGCGGGGACCAGGCGTGGGCGGGGAGCGGGGCCTCGTCCGGCGGGCTGGGCCCCCAGGCCCCGCAGGACGACTGGGCCCCTGCCCGCGACCCTCCCCGTGGACGCCCGGCGGGGAGGGCTGGGGCGACCCGGACCCCAGGCCGGGCCACTGCCCCTCGCCGGGTGCCCGTGATGTTGAGTGGCGTGTGCAGGGTCCGCCAGCGAGCGTGTGCGGATGGGGAAACTGAGGCAGGGAGGGCAGAGTAACTCATCCAAGGTCGACGAGGCAGGCAGTGGCAGGGCCGAGTTTGAAAACCCCTCCAGGTGAAGTGGGGGCACGCAAGACTGGGGAGTCCCGAGTCCGATGACACGGCGGGGCTCCCAGGTGCTACACCCTCACCTGCCCGAGGAGGGTGGTGGGCGCCGCCTCCACCACTGGCCAGGCGCGCTCCGCCCGCTCCTTTGGCCCAGAAGGCCTCCTTCTCTCAGGGCTCAGGTCCTCGGACGTCCGGGGCGCCCTGCGACCCCGCCACCTCGTGGCACCCCGCAGGTGCTCCAGACAGGTGTGGGGCCTCGGGGAGACCGGCTCGCGTCGCCACCACCCCCCCAGCAAGGGACAGCCATCAAAACCTGAGGGGTTCATATCTCGTTTCGTTATCTGCCTCTCAAAACTTGCCCGTGCTTCATCCTGAAGTTCTTATCTTAAAGGTATCACCAGGTACCCTGTTTCCTAAGCCATAAACCTGTGAGTCAGCGCCGACTCCTCGCTCTCTCTCCACACACCACGCAGTCTCCCCACGTCTTTTACCTGGGGAAACAGCTCCTCCTTCGCGTCCCACTGCCCCACTGTCGTCCCGCATCGGCTCGGGCAGGGAGGCTACCGGGCAGCTTCCCACTTAGTATTCCCTGCGCTCCACGCCTTTCCCCGGAAAGCAGCAGAGTTAACTTCCCGAAAAAAAAAAAGAAAGAAATCTTTAAAACAAATAACTCCTATACATAGAAAAAGAGATTAGAAGTATATTTGGATATCCCAGTCCAGTAGATTCTGACCCATGGTGACCCTACGTGTGCAGAGTAGAACTGGTCCGTAGAGTTTCCAAGGCTGTGGCCTTTTGGAAGCAGATGGCCAGGCTTTCCTTCTGAAGTGCCTCTGGCTGAGTTTGAACTGCCAGCCTTTGTGGTTAGCAGTCCAGGGCTTAAGCACTACCCAGGGACTTCACAAATACACCGAAGGAGTGAATGTCTCTGAGTGTCAAGACTGATCTATTTTTTTCTATTTCTCTGTATTGTTCAAAATCTTGTACTGCCTGGCCCTTTCCCTCTCACTTTCCATCCCTCACTTCACCATCACCACCCTACACCCCACTCTAGTCACTAGGATGGTCTCATTAGGACCTTTCTATATACTTCTGCAAATACTATTCCCTATGCTAAGAACACATATATGCCTGGCAACTCTAACTCATCCTCCAAAACCCAGTTCAAATGTCACCTAGTCCTGGAAGCCCTTTATAGAGGGTTGAATAGTGGCCCCTCACATTTCATGTCCACCCAGAACCCCAGAATGTGACCTTATCTGAAAATAGGGTCTTTGCAGATGTAACTAGTTACTGGTGTCCTGATAAGGAGAGACACAGACACACAGGGAAGCCACGTGAGGGCAGAGGCAGAGACTGGAGAGATGCTGCCACAAGCCAAGGAATGTGTGGAGACGCCAGAAGCTAGAGGAGACGAGGAAGGATTCTCTCCTAGAGCCTTAGGAGGGAGTGCAGTCCTGCTGACTCTGTGATTTCAGACTTCAGGCTTGCAGATCTGTGAGAGAATGATTTCTGTTGTTTTAAGCGAGGTTGTGGCACCTGGTTAGACCAGCCCCGGGAGATTCATATGCCCTCCTAGCCCACCGTGGGGTCCCTCACAGCACTGTCTCTGTCAGGGCATATAACCACACTGTGTCTTTTTCTCTCCCATTCATTCATGTTTTTATTTATTCATCAAGTATCTCTTGAGACTCTACTAAGGACATTTCCACTGTGTTAATCCTCTGTGCCAAAAAATAAAGGAAGAAATCCCTATATATTCAAGGAGACCAAACAGCAAGCCCTAAACATCATAAGAAGTCCCTGGGTGGTGCAAACAGTTAATGTGCTCGGCCGCTAACTGGAAGGTTGGAGGTTTGAGTCCACTCAGAGACTCCTTGGAAGAAAGGCCTGGCGATCTGCTTCCAAAAAATCAGCCACTGAACCTATGGGACAAAGTCCTGCTCTGATGTATGTGGGGTTGTCGTGAGTCAGAATTGACTTGATGGTGCCTGGTTATTTTAGAAATCATAAACAGAAGTACTCAAGAGGTCAGTTTGCACAGAGGAAGGCAGGACACTGTATCTGAACGAGCCATCCATGTGTCCATCTCACTACTAGACTGTGAGCTCTTTGAGGGTAGGAGCTGCGTCTTATGCACAGCACAGCGCACTGCAAGATCCAGGTTTGTAAATTCAATGAATAAATGAGTGAGTGAATGAATGAATGAACAGCATCAGGTTTCCCTGAGCCCTAAGTTCTCTAGGAAGGCTGAAAAGTTGGGTCTCCAGCCAGAGGCAGCTCCAGGCCACTCCTCCAAGAGGGGACAACATAGCAGGCCACTAGAGGCCTTCGCCAAGGCCTGCCCTGAGGCAGTGGAGGTCACAGCCCGGCCCTCAGCCCTCGGGGTGTATGGCTGATGCAGTGGTGTGCACATGAATGCCCGTCATCCCCCTGCTGCGTGGGCTGCTATGGAGTGGATTCACACCTCATTTTACAGAGGAGGAAATGGAGGGAACCAAATCCCGAAGACTCCCAGAGGAAAGTGAGCTGGACCGGACAGGTCAGGGCCGGGCCTGGGACACAGGGCTTCGGATGCCAACCCCTTGCCCTTCCTGCCTCGCCATGCTCAACCCCCAAACACACCCACTCTGCAGGCCCCTTTTCCTTCTCCAGTCTTCTCATCTGCCTTGTTTTGATGAGTTCCTCTGGTACTTCCCGACGACTTTCTCTCCTTTCTCCTCCTGCCCTCCTCCTGTCTCTCCAAAGAACACCGGACTCAAGCATTCATGGGGGACAGCAAGGATGACAGAGTGGCTCATTATGCTAAGTGAAAAAAAGCAGTCACAAAAGGCCACACATTGTGTGATTTCACTGATATGAAATGTCCGGAATATGCAAATTTATTAGAGACAGAAAGTAGATTAGTGGTTTGCCTAGGGCTGGGGAAAGAGCCCTGGTGGTGCAACAGTTAAGTGCTCAGCTGCTATCAGAAAGGTTGGTGGTTCGAATCCGCCCGGCGTCTCCAAGGGAGAAAGACCTGGTGATCCGCACCCATACAGATTGCAGCCAAGAAGACTGTATGAGGCAGTTCTACTCTGTCACATGGGGTCACTATGAGTCAGAATCAACTCGATGGCACCTAACAACAACAAGGCCAGGGCTGAGAGGTTGGGGAGAAAGAGAGTGATAGCTAAAGGGTGCGGGGTTTCTTTTCGTGGTGATAAAAATGCTCTAAAACTGACGGCCGTGATGGTGCACAATTCCGGGAATCCACTGAAAGGCCCTGAAATGTACACTTACACCTGCACATCTTACGGCACGTGAATTATATCTCAACCAAGATGCTTTCAAAAAAGTCGGTTTGGAAAGAAGGAAGACAGACAGGGATGGAAAAGAGAGAGGCAAGTGCTCTCAGCAGCAGGAGTGACCCCACAGTGGAAGGGAAACAAGTCAGGGGTCCTATAGGAAGAGTGACAAGTGGACCTGCGTGGTGGAGCCAGGAGGAAAACAGCCCACCAGGAAGGTCCGCGGTTGGGTTTGATGTCATTGGACTTTCCGAACTCAGCTGGAGGACGAATGGCAGGAAGAAAATGGAGACGAAGGGACACAGGCCGAACTGGAAGGAGAGAGAGACATTTCTCGCAAGCTCCGCCTGCACATCCAGCTGTTGTGGTTTGAATTGTGCCCCCAAAAGGATATGCTGAAGCCCTAACCCTTGTACCTGTGAACATGATCTTGTTTGGAACTGTTGTTGGG